ACGGCAAGTTAGTTTATTGGGGTATGTAGTGTCGGAAGAAGGTATCCGCACGGATCCAGAGAAAATTGCTGCTGTCAAGGAGTGGCCGGTCCCAAAAGACAAGACACAGGTTAGAGCATTTTTGGGTTTGTGCTTTTATTATCGGCGATTTGTGAAGAACTTTGCAGATATAGCCAAACCTCTGCACAAGCTAACCGAGGAGAAGCGACAATTCTGCTGGGATGAAAGTTGCGATATTGCATTCCAGGAGCTCAAGAACCGTCTGTGCAAAACACCTATTTTGGGGTACCCTGATGCGGGCAAGGAATTCATAGTTGACACAGACGCAAGTGATATAGGACTTGGCGGTGTGTTGTCTCAACGGAATGGTGATCAAGAGATTGTGATAGCGTACTTCAGCAAGTCGTTGTCAAAGCCGGAAAGGAACTATTGTGTCACAAGACGGGAATTGCTTGCTGTGGTAAAGTCCTTGCAGCATTTTAGCAAATATCTCCTGGGGCGGAAATTCTACTTACGAACTGACCATGCTGCACTGAAATGGCTATTGCAGTTCAAAAATCCTGAAGGACAAGTTGCGAGATGGATTGAACTACTACAGGAATACGACTTTGTGATCGAACATCGCAGCGGGAAATCTCATGGCAATGCAGATGCATTATCAAGAAGACCTTGCCCTGAAGATTGCAAGCATTGTACTAGACAAGAGGGTAAAGAAGTGGTATCTGCGAGGATATTCAGGACAGACCAGCTCAGCAATGAATGGAAGGACAGCCTACAACATGCACAGCAGGAAGATTCGGACATTAAGCCGATTCTGGAATGGATGAAGGCCAGTGCTCCTAAGCCCAAGTGGAGCGACGTCTCAGCAATGAGTTCGACCACGAAAAGCTATTGGGCCCAATGGGACAGCTTGCTGATTCAGGATGGAGTCCTGTGCCGTAAATGGGAAAATGGTCGGGGAGACATATGTCATTTGCAAATGGTTGTCCCTAAGGCTAAAGTACCGGATGTTCTACAACTGTACCATAATAGTTCTTCAGGAGGCCACCTGGGAGTTAAACGAACTCTCCTGAAGATCCGAGAACGGTTTTACTGGGTCCACTGTCGTGACGATGTCGAGGACTGGTGCCGCAAATGTACAAGTTGTGCGGCTGTAAAGGGACCTCAAATTCGTAGTAGAGGCGCATTGAAATTGTACAATGTTGGTGCACCATGGGAGAGGATAGCCATTGACGTTGCGGGGCCGTTTCCGGAAAGTGAAAGTGGTAACAAGTATTTCATGGTAGTGATGGATTACTTCACTAAGTGGCCAGAAGTCTTCGCCATTCCAAATCAAGAAGCTTCAACAGTTGCAGATAAACTAGTTCATGAAGTCTTCTGTCGTTTTGGAGTACCTTTAGAGATTCACAGCGATCAAGGAAGGAATTTTGAGTCTCAAATATTCCAGGAAACTTGCCGAGTTATGGGTACTCATAAAACACGAACAACTTCTTACCACCCACAATCTGATGGAATGGTAGAACGATTTAATCAAACATTGGAAAGGTACCTGGCAAAAGTTGTGGAAAAACGGCAACGAGACTGGGACAGGCACATACAACCGTTTTTGTTGTCATATCGAAGCGCTGTTCACGAAAGTACATCATTGACGCCAGCTTTTGCAAACTTTGGGAGAGAATTACGGCTGCCTGCAGACCTGATCACCGGAATACCACCAGATGCCCCACGCAGTATAACCGATTATGCAAATGACTTGCGGAACAAAATGAATGACATTTATGAGCACGTCAGACAGACGGGCCAGCAAACGTCTGAGAAGATGAAAACACGGTATGACCGCAAAATAAACAACAAGGGGTTTGATGAAGGTTCACTAGTGTGGTTACACAATCCAGTTCGCAGCAAAGGGAAATCTCCTAAGCTTCAAGCTAAATGGGACGGACCGTACCGGATTGTGACAAGGATCAATGATGTAACCTACCGGATACAGAAAGGTGCCAGAGGTACTCCTAAGATTGTCCATGTGGATCGACTGGCGCGTTATTATGGGGCCAATAATGCTCGGGACGAGCATGTCTTAGGAGGGGGCAGTGTTACGCGCCACTATTAATGTCTTGTACATGGCAACACTAGTTACACTAGCGCCCCCTAGTGTCGAGTAAATGAAAGTATTGCGCGCCACTATTAATGTCTTGTACATGGCAACACTAGTCACACTAGCGCCCTCTAGTGTCGAGTAGCAGAACTAGGAGAGTCGAGATCCTTCCAGAAATTTCGGGACCGATATGTACTCGAACATTCTAGATGTCGCTACAGTAGAAGGTTCTGGAAACTATCTGAGGCCCTATATAAGGCCGGTATAGACCACGACCGAGGCAGTATTGAATTGGCGATACAAGAGAATACTTCGAAGCGAAATAACGGCGAACTGTGTTTTATTATTAGTGTGATTTTAGATTGTAATTAGTGTTGTGTAATAAAAGTGTCAATTTTGGTAATTCAATCGGCAGTTTTTAATTGTCTCGAACCCCAAGCTCATAACATAAATGATATAAAAAGCACATTGTTAGAAAGATAAATGATTGTTGAACTTATAAATTTTTTTTTAAATCGATTAATTGCTATTTTTAAATAAAAAAAGGTGTTTTAGTGGCTTATGGTGTGGATTTATCACTGGCTTGTAAACACAATAACTTTTGAAAATATCAATCGTTTAACTCAATCTATTTTTTAATCTCTTCATCTATCATGTGGGAAGCCACTGAATGTAAATAGCAGTGTAATTTTGTTTTGTTTAGCTATAATTAATTTTTTTCGGCTCCAAAATGGCGTAATTTTCGTTGATTTGGTAGCCTCGTATGTAAATTATTTCTGTAAATGGGGAGCTACAGCCACAGAGTAGTTTAGTTCGGCTCACAGAGTACATTGTGGTTCGGCTTCGTGAGTGGACATTGTTTCGGATGTTTGCAGCGGCTCAAAAAGATCGCTGTACAAATACACAATATTCGAATAACCAAATTTCTTAAATACTTGATTATAATAATAATAAGAGATTTTTTTTATTACAATATTTTAAAAGCACAGAATAAATAATAGTAGTACGTACTAAAAGTAAGTAGTATAATTTTTTTTGTCATAGGTGACATTTTCATAGTTTTCGAGGGTGTTGAAACCGATAGGGTTGTCGAAATGTAAATCCAAGATGGCGGCCGCAATAGGTATAATTTTTTTTATCATGGGTGTCATTTTCATGGTTTTCGAGGGTGTTGAAGCCGTGCTGTCGAAACGTAAACCCAAGATGGCGGCTGAAATAGGTACCAATTTTTTCATCATGGGTGTCATTTTCATAGTTTTCGATAAGGTTGTCGAAATGTAAATCCAAGGTGGCGGCTGCAACAGATATCAAGTTTTTCATCTTGGGTGTCATCTTCATGGTTTTCGAGGGTGTTGAAGCCGATAGTGCTGTCAAAATGTAAATCCAAGATGGCGGCTGAAGTAGGTACCAATTTTTTCATCTTGGGTGTCATTTTCATAATTTTCGAGGGTGTTGAAGCTGATAGTGCTGTCGAAATGTAAATCCAAGATGGCGGCTGAAGTAGGTACCAATCTTTTCATCTTGGGTGTCATTTTCATGGTTTTCGAGGGTGTTGAAGCCGATAGTGCTGTCGAAATGTAAATCCAAGATGGTGGCTGCAATAGGTATCAATTTTTTCATCATGGGTGTCATTTTCATGGTTTTCGAGGGTGTTGAAGCCGATAGTGCTGTCGAAATGTATTTAAGCTACTTTAAAAATTCCGTATAATCATGTTATACGTAATTTTTTAATGCGCTTAAGGTATGCCCAATTGGATTTACCAATATATTTTTATCTAAATTTTTGAAGTAAAATTTTTGAAGTCTTACTATAACAATATTATCGATTCTTTATAAACATTCAAGATAAATATCAACATTAATTTTGATATAGTTGAGTCAATCCCTAGTGCACATGTAAAATATTTTGTATAAAAGTTATTTACCAAATTCAGGCAAATTATTAATAATGTGACTTTTTCCGTTGCAAAATATTAAAATTAATAAAATAATTGAATATATTCTAGTATATAACATAAATTTTAACCAAAAATAGACGTGTCATAACAGTAACGACGTTTTGCGAATTTAACTGTGAAATGTGTAATTATCAAGATTATTTCTATTATTGACACCACAGTCAATCACAGAACATGTATAACATTGTTGAAAACAATTAGTTGGAATATTAACTACGATTATACTCTAAAAAATTACAAAATATATTGTAGCTTATTTCTTTCGTGCCGACTTGTGCCGATGTGTCATTTAAAATCGGTTACAGAGTCATGAGATTTGCTATCCTTTTCTATCTTGCTCTTTTGTCATAAGGAGTTTTCTTCTCCCTTGCACACTATTTTGTTTGTATGTTGTTCTATATATTCTTAGTCTATGGAACAGTCTTACTAGTATTCTTTTTTTATACAAAAATTTGTAATTATACTGTATTATGAAAATTGTCATACGGTTTCCAATTTAAACAAGGCTAGAACTATATTATCCTTGTGTATACCGGTCTACGTAGCCGGCATAAGGTATTTGTCCTTCCGTTCAGCAAACAACATGTGGCTTTGGCTCATTTCTGGATCCCGACAACAGCAGCGGCAACCTATCAGGTCAAGTTGTGAATCTAAACCATCCAGGGACCCACTCAAACACACACAAAAAATTCATCAGAATTGGTCGAGCCAATTTCGAGTTTTAGCGAGACTTACGGACAGTAATTAATTTTTTTTTAAGTATTATAGAGATAAATTTCATTTTATAAATTGTTATTTTTGTTGATATTGCTTATAATAAAAAATTGTGATTATATACTCTTTGGCTGATGACATATGAGCATATGACACAAATAAATAGTTGTTTTAGATCTAAATAAGTACTTATATACTTACATAATACCTATATCTTAAATATCCCAATAAGAATGTCACAGTCATTTTTATTGGAACCAGATATTATTGCAGCGACTGAAAATGTTATGCCTGACTTGAATAACGATCTAGTGCTTGCAAAAAACTTTTTAAAACAGCAGAGCGCGGCAACCGGTGATAACTTGTAAGTCGGGATTTTTTTAAAGAAGTACCTATGCTTTGCGTTAATTATAGCATAATATAAACACTCACGCCCGTCACCCAGAGTGCTAGGCAGAGACTACGTATTTCCATTTGGCACGATCCTGACACACCTCTCTCGCCTCCTCCACATCAATAGACCTACGCATACATGCTCGTCGGTTAAGGGTACTCTTAATTTGGCACATTTTCAATATATCGCCAATTTGGTCGAAAAAGTTTCGCCTAGGGCATCCGTTACTGACTCTGCCGTTTACTTCTGCAACATAAATTTGACTTTGTTACTCTTTCCTCATTCATTATTTCTACATGAACAAACTACCGAAGCATTCCTTTCTTAATCCTGGTCACAACATCATCTTGCAAATCACACTCTTCTCTTATCACACAATTTCTAATTTCTAATTTATTTATATTTTATGAATAGAAAGCTTTTGTTATTTTATGCTAAGCCTAGTGGTCAGTATCAACCGATACTAACCACGATTAAAGCTTCCGAATCTCCGCGAGTGTAATATCGGTAATCGGTAGCCATGATAGACGTAGCGCTCGGACTGGTAATTATGGGACACAGGTCGAAAAAGAGGACATTAAATGAAACTATATTTTTTCGGATTTAAATACGTTTAATTTAATATATTTCAGACGTTTTGAGTGCTATGTAGATCTCATGCTCACGGGGTGAGTTGTTCGTAATTAAGTCATAACTATGTCACCCCGGCTACCATTCTTTTAGAGTTCCGTACCTGAAGGGTAACCAACAGGACCCTATTACTAAGCCTCCGCTGTCCGTCCGTCAGTCTTTTTTCTTATTATAGGAGATGCAGCAAACGAGCATGCGGCTCACCTGATGGTAAGTGACTACCGCCGCCCATGAACAACTACAATACCAGGGGAATCACAGATGTGCTGCCGGCCTTTTAAAAAAGAGTCGGTTCTTTTCTACAAGGTCGCTAAGTCATTTCTGTCCAGGAAAAGTCGCTGGTGGTAGTCGATTCCACAAGGAAGATTTGTGAGGAAATTTTTTTTTAAATCGGACAGTGGTGGACCGCCAATTATCCAGATGGTATTGGTATGGATGGTATCGCGAGTTCTGTCGCGATGTGCAATGGTGAAATTGCACATCGCGAAAAAGTGGCAATTAGTGCGAAAAATTCCTCCAAGCACTCCCCGTGGTAGATTCGATGGAATACGTAAAGAGATGCAACATCTCTTCGCAGCGCCATTGAGTCGACGATCTCGGTCACCAACGATTCAAATCGCTCAGCACTGGATGCGACGAAGTTGAAGGAGCTGGCACTGGGGTAATAATGTCCTTCAGCTTTTTTAATTATAAGTTTTGTTCCGACATACGCAGAATAAACTTACTGTGTAACTGTAAGTAAGACACAGAAGTTCATTCTGCGTAGATCGGACCAAAACTAATAATTAAAAAAGCTGAAGGTACTCCGGGTTAACTCTGACATAGGGACGTCAATCACCTCAGTCCCCCGTGACCGTGGGTGCTGTAAAGCACCCGAAACGTCGGGAATTTAACAAAGATAAAATTTAATAAAGGTTAAAGTAGTTTTATTAAATTTCTATAGAGATGTAAAGTTTCTAAAACGCACCCCGTCTACTTAAATACACCTACATCGCTCTCACTCTCTCATTACATTATTCATTCACGCCCTCCTGTTACGTGTCCTAATTATTTTGCAACTAAATTATATTATTATAAGTAGATATAATTTATAATATATGATCGCCAGGCGCCGATGAGGGGCTAGCCCAGGGCGCTGTCAACGTTTTTTTTTTTCTGAATGTGTATACTGTTGGCCCTGCGGCCTTGACAGCTTCGTCAAATTAGGTTCGTAAGTGAGTACTTACGAACTATTGAGTGCAACGATTCTGTCGTCGGCGAGGCAGTCCCGAGGCACCCCGACCCCTGCTTTCGGAGGGAGGCTCCTCGAGCTAGGGGGAGGCTCGATGCGATTCAAGGGCCCCTCAGAAGGAGGTACGAACCTCGGCTTGAATCGCTATCGCTTGTCGACGTTTAAACCGCCACTGGCCATAAGGTGATAGCTATAGTGACGAATAGCGTTTAGTGGCGGTAGAAGAGAATCCACTATCTCATATTATCTCGAGGATGCTGTGAGAGGCGACAGAAGAAAACTGAAACAGCAGATAGGCAGCAGCTTCTTTCTGTTACGAGCTCAAACAATAAAAAAATACGGTTTTCAAACTGCCTGTAAAGCGTGGCAATTGTGGCAAATATTTTCCATATGAGGCAGTCTATGGCAATCAATCTATCTCTCTATAAATAATTAAAAATTAAAAATTTTGTACTGCCGACTTCAATATAAGTTATTAAGAATAACTCAAAAACCATTGGTCTGACCGTGATCAAATTCATATGGGACCACACGAGAAGTACCAGCTTTCAAATAAAAAAAGAATCATCGAAATCGGTTCACCCAGTAAAAAGTTATGAGGTAACACACATTAAAAAAAACATACAGTCGAATGAGGGCTAATAATCTTCCACTCACCAGATGTCGCTAGTTGTGACTGAGGTAAAATTTTTTGTTACACAATGTCAGTTAATTGAGACATTAGTTTTAAATAATAGTTTATCATTATCTAGAGTATTATATTAATACACAACACAATGCGTCAGTGGTTTGATTTTTAATTTTTTGCACATTATAACTTTTTTTTAAAAAAGTCGTCTTTTAGTTATATTTATAGTTTGGTTTATTCATTTCTAATGTAATTAATATAAAATATAACTAATAATACATAAAGAAACCTTAAAGATTACATTTTCCTAAGAAATTATCATCCCCGCTATGAAATCTGTCAAATATTTTACCTTACTCTAAAGTGGCGCCGCCCTGGTGGCAGAAAAAGTCGTGGATGCCCTCATTGAGTACAGTCTCCATTTTGGAAGTCGGCAGATAAAAACCAAGCGCTGTCCGTTAGTCTCGCTGAAACTCAAAACTGGCTGGACCGATTTTGATGATTTTTTTTTGTGTGTGGTTGAGTGGGTCTCTGGAAGGTTTAGATTCACAATTGAAATGAAACTGTTGTCGAGATCCAGAAATCACCCGTGCGAAGCCGGGGTGGATCGCTAGTCAATAATAAATATATAATCGATCTAATCGATATTCCATGCATTAGGACTAAATGGTTTGCTTCGTATTACGTAATGCGTACAGCAAAGGAGTGGAATAATTTGCCGGCGTATGTTCGCTCTTTCCGTCCGAATAAAGAGAGACAGTGCGATTTACCATCTTGGGCTTCATCACCACTTACCACCAGGTGGGAATGTGGTCAAGCACTGGTTTGTTATAAGTAAAAAAAAAAATGGGGAAGGCCTATGTTCTACTTTGGACTTTTGATAGACTGAAATGAATAAATGATTGAAAATTAAAAATAGTTATCCGTTATTCAACCAGATATGATCACCTGGTGGATCTAGTGCACAAAATCCTTAAGCACAAACCGCCCGATGTAGTCGACAACTTCGAGCAGTTCTCCTGGGAGGTGAAACAAGAGAAGCTCAGGCCTAATTTTGATTTGTTGAATGATGTGTATTTGTCACCGCCGCAGCTCGCCATTGCGAGGAAAATGGATGAAATGTTCAAGGTTTGTGGAATTTATTCAAAGGAAAAATACTAAGAAAGGAAAAAGGTTTTATAAGTGACAGAACCATGAATAGGTTGGCTTGACCGCTCCCCTGAACGGGTTCCACCTTATCGTGGCGGAAAGGCTTAGTATCCGTCACTTGGTCATCCACGGTGGACAAAGAAGAACCCACTAGGCTGGATCAAGGTGTAGGGCCAGTCGGAGACGGGCGCCTTAAATGGATTTTTTTTTATAGAATAAGGGTGACAAACAAGCACACAGTCCACCTGATGGTAAGTGGTTGCAGTGTTTCCAAATAAAAATGCAGATGCGTTGTCAGCAGTGAGGACTAAGACAGAATGACGCTTTTCCAGTAAAATGGGTCTCCGGTTCTCTACACTCACCATACGAAACACAGCAGTGTTAAGCTGCTATTTTACCACGGTCGAGCCAACCCATTCGTGCTACAACTATACTACCAATATAGCTGCAGCATGGCTCTACCACGTATAAAATATATAAGATTTGCCTAGCTCAGTCAATTTGCGCGTTGGTGGACTGTGGCGGGAAAGGTGTCCTCTTCCACTTAACCGTCGCAGCCAAGGTGGAGAATAGAATGTGTTGATAAGGTGATGCGCTACACAAAAAAATTGGCTTGACTCGGGAAGAAACGCGCCCGCACTGAATATCGACATGAAATAGCAGCATAATGTTGTCGTGTTTCTTAAGATAAGTGTAGAGAACTGAAGACCGTTTTTACTGGTAACGAAGGCATTCTATTTTAGTCGTCAGGGGTGAGGATGCATCTGTCGGGGAATGTAGATGTCTATGGGCCACAGCATCCACTCACAATCAGGTAGAGTATTGGCCAAATACTCAAACGCTGCTCAATTTTAAGATGTCGTTAAGTCTGGTGCTGTCTCTATCACTTTAAGTCAAAGTGACTGTGACAGCACGATACTCAAATTTAAGTTGTTTGTCACCCATACTTCTGTAACAAATAATAACAAAAAATAACACTTTTACCAATGCCATGGTGCAATGCTACGCTGAACTCTTCTTATATATGAGATGGTTTTGGATGAGGAAAGAGTCCCGAACGCGCTGCCTCAAGTAAGTTATACCAGTTTCTCGACTTCAAAGAGTCAGTAATTCCTTCATGGGGATATTGCCCCATGAAGGAATTACTGACTCTTTGAAGTCGAGTAATAAGTTATTACAACAATAACCCAGAAAATATGCAGACCTTATCTATCAAAAGGTTTAAATTATTCATTAAGAAAAAATTGTCTAGTACGGGTTATTATATACTAAGTACTACTAAAGAGTACATGATTTATAATAACCCCTGGGAATGAGGTGATCGTTACCATGCTGTTTCTAAATGTTTTCATAACATTTGTATAAAATATTATATTGTAAATTGTGCTTTTAAAAAAAAGTTCCGCTGGGTTTCTGGCTGGTTCTTCCCAGGACAGAGGTTTTAAGCGAACCAGTGGTAAAGGTAAAAAATGAATTTCAATATGTATTACTGTAATCTATATTGAATAAAAATGATTCTATTCTATCCAATGAGTATGGCGTGTTTCTAAGCTTACCTACAGATCCTGAAAATATATAATACAATACAATGCAATACTCTTTACTATTACACCAGGAAAGAATAATATTAGCAAAATATTCAAATATTTACGTTAAACAAAAAAAGGTCTTATTGCTTCTCAGCAATTTCTTCCAGGCAACAAAAAAATTAAGAACAGCGTGTAATATAACAATAAACGTTATCAAATTTTTTTTTTATAGGGTAGAGTGACAAACGAGCTCACCACCCACCTGATGGTAAGTGGTTGCTGTGACCCATAGACATCTACATTTATTCTCAATAAAGAATCAAAATGCAAATGCGTCGTCACCAGTGAGAACTAAGATAGGATGCCTCTTTTTCAGTAAAATTGGTCTCCGGTTCTCAACACTCACCATACGCAACACAGCAGTGTCAAGCTGCCATTTTACGCTAGTATTATGTGAGAGCGTGGTCCTTCTCCGATCGAGCCGACCCATTCGTGCTACAACTATACTATAAATATAGCTGCAGCATGGCTCTACCACGTATAAATTATGAACTAAAGGGGTAAAAGACTTAATCGATAAGATATCGATTAAGAGAATCGATTATAAGATAGAGAGAGAAACAAATAATGTTCTCTAGCTAATATATAAATAGTTCTTGTTAATTTCGCGGACTGAGTTCCGAGTTTTTACCGTGTAGTGTAAGAGACACCATCACAGCGTTCCGTGGGTGTCGTAAGAGGTGACAGAGGGAAAGAAATCAGGAGACGGGCAGCAGCGTTTTCCTAATAAAGACTAAAAATAAAAACGCGCGTTTGCTAATCCGAAATTTGGGCAGTGCTGCAGACCCCTTCAGCAAATTGTACAGAAGTCCGAAGAGCACAATTTGCCACTATGTCTGGCGTATGTGGACTATGAGAAAGCCTTTGATTCCGTCGAAATTTGGGCGGTGCTGCAGTCCCTTCAGCGGTGCCAAGTTGACTGTCGGTATATCGAAGTGCTGAAGTGTTTGTACAGTAGGGCTAAGATGGCTATCCGAGTACAGAACCAGAGTACGAAACCTATCCAATTGCAGAGAGGTGTAAGACAGGGTGACGTTATATCCCCAAAACTCTTCACCGTTAGAAGACGTTTTCAAGCTTCTAGACTGGAAAGGATACGGTATTAACATCAATGGCGAGTACATCACTCACCTTCGATTTGCCGACGATATAGTCCTTATGGCAGAATCGCTGGAGGACCTAAGCACTATACTCAATAGTGTTTCTCAACAGATAGGTCTTAAGATGAACATGGACAAAACAATGATCATGTTTAATGTTCATGTCACACCTATGCCGGTAGTTGTTGGGAGCACTAAGCTCGAAGTTGTTGACGAGTATGTTTACCTGGGACAAATAGTCCGACTAGGTAAGTCCAACTTCGAACGAGAGGTCAATCGACGGATTCAACTCGGCTGGGCAGCGTTCGGGAAGCAACGACACATCTTCTCGTCAGACATACCTCAAAACCTTAAAACGAAATTGTACAACCAGTGCGTGTTGCCAGTGATGACTTACGGAACTGAGACGTGGTCCTTCACTGCTGGCCGTATGAGGAAGCTCAAGGTCACTCAGCGAGCTATGGAGAGGGCTATGCTCGGAGTTTCTCTGCGTGATAAACTTAGAAATGAGGATATCCGCAGTAGAACCAGAGTGACCGACATAGCCCAACGGATTAGTAAGCTGAGGTGGCAGTGGGCCGGCCATATAGCTCGAAGAAACGACAACCGATGAGGAAGAAAGGTTCTCGAGTGGGAGCCTCGTAACAGCAGGCGAAGTGTTGGGCGTCCCCCCGCTAGATGGAGTGACGACCTGGTAAGATATGCAGGAAGTCGATGGATGCAGGTGGCTCAGGACCGTGCTTTATGGCATTCCTTGGGGGAGGCCTATGTTCAGCAGTGAACTTGTGAGGGGCTGTAATGATGATGATGATGATGAATGGTTGCTAACCCGCTTGATGAGCGTGGCGACTATGGCAAATGTACCCCCTACGAGGCAATCTATAGGGAAGGCCTATAGATTGTCTACTAGTAAGACCCATACCGGCGATAGGAAGCAGCCTTAAACGTGCGAGACCTCTGCTATTGCGATTGTCTATCCGCCTCCTCCTGACAACGTGAGAGGCCCATGCCCAGTAGAGGACGAAAAATACTTTCGTTTGAAAACATAACGCAAGTACACTATAGCACTTAAATTTTATAATATGCTCCAGATCGAATTTCGGTTACTGCGGCTAGTCTCAATTGGAGACTAGCCATCTGCGCAGGACAGGATTATGTGCATGAGTGTATGCGTAAGCATAGGTGCATTCTATTCCTTTACACTCATAGTCCAATAGGGCGATAATTTGACTCGACCGGAGAGAGATCAGGCTCACGACCAACGACTACGAGCCACGGGGTTAAATAACGTTAACTTCCTGACTGTGGGCGGCTACTGAGAATTTCTTGACAGTCAAACTCAATACTTAACTGATTTTTGATCCGACCCGGAATTTGAACTTGGGACCTCATGATCACAACCAACCATATTCCCTCACTCTCATAGTTCGATGTTTTTTTTTATAGGATAGGGTGACAAACGAGCACACAGTTCACCTGATGGAAAGTGGTTGCTGTGACCCATAGACATCTACATCTATCTTCGTTTGCGAATAAAAATGCAGATGCGTTGTCACCCGTGAAGACTAAGATGGAATGCCTCTTTTCAAGTAAAAAGAGTCTACGGTTCTCTACACTCACCATACGAAACTCAGCAGTGTTAAGCTGCTATTTTACACTGGTATTTTGTGAGAGCGTGGTGCTTCCCCGGTCGAGCCGACCCATTCGTGCTACAACTATACTACTAATATAGCTGCAGCATGGTTCTGCCACGTAGAAATTTGTACGTGACACGTGGTAATTGGTACGACAATCCGACACGACTGGAGAGATATCAGGCGCAGGACCTACGGCTTTACGTGATTTCAGAGGCACAGGGGTAAAGCACGGCAAATTCCTGACTCCGAAATACTACTGAGAATTTCTTGACAGAGAAATAATAAATAACAATCGCGTTTACGACCACAAGAAAATCAGAGGTAGTAAATTTTATACAATGTAAGGGGTAATACGCACTGCTGAACAATAACGGAATCTTTAAGCGTGTCTCATGTCTCATACACATCACGTGTTCATCCAGCTGGTTGCTAGCAAGTCACAGAAGTTACAGGAGCAGGGCGAAGAAGAACAAGAGTTGGATCTTGAAGAAGAGTCCGACAAGCCGAGGATAACCGATCTTATTGATCATAACTACTATTTCCGTCAGGTACTGATGTACACAATTCAATTCGACTTTTAAAACCTATAAAGGAATTTACACATTTTGCCTAAGTACATATCTTTTTCGGCAACTGTATTATAAAAGAAATTATTCCATTTCTGAAGTTAGAAATTACTCTAAAATTTATTGAAATATAATAACATAACTCGGTAACATTTTCTAACTGTATGTTATAACACAAATAGACAGGATAAGCAGTTAGAAGTAGGTATTATGCAAGAGAGCATTAAAATAGATGAAATATGCACACCAACAGCAATACTGCCTGCCTTTCTCTATGTGACACAGGACAGCGTAATATTATATAACTTTCTTTACATTTATCAAGGGTATTACCCCAACGGGCATCATCACTACAGTAATTAAGACCCATAAACTGTTGTGTAAATTACTGATTCCTTCTGAACGACTGATCCTTGACTGGCTGACCGGTTTCACTTAGTCGCTTGTGCGATACTTTATACCTACTACCAGAACGGGTTCTTCTTCTTAATAACTAGCTTTACGGCTCTGGGATCTAGCCCTTCTGAACCTGAAGTTACAATATTATATTATAATTATTATTCTTCATAGTATACTGCTTCACAATATGTTGATGCGTCACATTGTGCAGCCCTTGGGAGATTTTAACGGTAACTTGAGCCAGCAGACAGCTGACGGTTGTCGATGGTATCTCAAAGCGCCTAAGCAGACAGGCACCTTATTTTGAGAATCACATCACTATCAGAGCACTTGTTTCACAGTTTCCACCAATAGTTCACATGCGCAGACACTAAATACACAAAATCGCACCACTTTTACATATCAAAGTCCACTTCAAACCATTATTTAAACAATAAAACAGGAGCAGCAAACCGCCGCCGGTCAAGTTCCCGCCAAAAACTCTACCAGAACGGGTGGTAGATAAAGAGTCCTACCCTAACTTCTTCGTATTTATTTTATTTCTACCCTCATTCCTAACAATATATGCAACTACATATTATGGACTATTTATCTTTATTTGAAGCTGTAGTACACATGTATTACACAATCCACATGCGTTAGAGAATTCTCTATTTCGTTCCGTGGGGTTGGTAGTATGTGGAAATGCAAGAAAAATCTTATAGGAGTTGTTATACATACAGCTTTTTCTGAATATCATATGGCAACTGTAATATATCGATATTTGATATCGGATTTCAAAACACTATGTTTTACGAAATTATACATTTAGAGATATCATAGAGCATCACGCTCCACCGGCGTATCGGAGGGGAGTAGCAGGCTTTCCCCTTTGTCTAAGTATAACTCCACGGTCCACTCGGTCCTTTGCGTACAAATACAATAAAACGAGTTGGCACCTGATGGTAAGTGGTTGCTGTGGTCCATAGACATGTACGTCTATCCTCGATGACCAATCAAAATGCAGATGCGTTATCACCTGTGAAAACTAAGATGGAATGCCTTATTTTCAGTAAAACGGGTCTCCGGTTCTCTACACCCGCCATACGCAACACAGCAGCATTAAGGTGCTATTTTACGCTGGTATTCTGTGAGAGCGTAGTCCTTCCCTGGTAGATCCATGGTAGATCCACGCTGCAGCTATATTATGGTGACAGCATAAATGGGTCGGCACGACCAAGGAATTACCGCGTTCTCGATGAATACCAACTTGAAATAACATCTTAATGCTGAGTTTCATATGGTGAGTTTAGATAACCGATGAGACGCATTTTACTGGAAACGTAGCATTCTACTTTAGTCGTCAGAGGTGACAACGCATCTACTATTTGGTTTTTAATCGAGGATTGATGTCTAAAGGCCACATCATCCTTTCACCAGGTGGACTCTGTGCTCGTTTGTCACTCTTATTTAAAAAAATGTGTACGTTTTATCTTTTAAGGCAGGCTATGGACTTCCAGATAGTGAATGCTACGCACTATATATAGCTTTAAACATGTTGGCCATCAAGGAGCCCGTTGCTACTGTCAGGTAAGACTTAGAGATATTATTTGGTAGAACAATTTAATTTACCATTTATTCTTCGTCATCAACACAATTCGAATAATGTCGTCCAGACAGAATTTTTCGGTCACGGTACGCTTGGGCAAAAATATCGATATTTCATGATCGTGATTCGTGATCATAAAAACGTCGACATTTTTAAATCGCGATGTAATTCCGATATATTTTAAAATCTGGGTTGGTTGTCGTTTTTTTTTTCGTCGTCCAACCGTCAGTAATAAAATTTTGGACCTTATCTTTACATCATAATATCGATATATAACGATATATCGATATATTGATATAATTCACGCGATATATAATGATACTGTTTAAAAATATCGATTCGATATATATCTATATATTTTCTTCCCTTGCCCATGCCCACGGCAGCCAGTCTCAACGGAGACTAGCCATCTTCATAGAACAGGATTATTGTATACGAGTGTGTGCTCAAGCACAGGTGCGCTCTACTCCCTCACTCTCATAGTCCGAAGAGTCGGAAATCCGACACTACCGGAAAGACTTTAGACGCAATACAAACAGATTTCTTAACCTTCATAACTTTTTACTGGGTGAACCGATTTCGATGATTCTTTTTTATTTGAAAGCTGGTGCTTCACATGTGGTCCGATATTGATCAAGGTCTGACCAATAGTTTTGAGTTATTCTTAATAATTTATATTGAAGTCGGTTGTACAAAATTTTTAATTTGAAATAATTTAAATTGTCAATTCTATTAAATATTAACTAATAATTTTGTAATTACCTGCGAGGTTGTACCATGGGTTGTACTATCCAGCTGCTACCTGAGCTATTATATGGAATAATTTCTATTCTGCTATTGAACTTGCGTGAGCTCTTTAATTTGAATTTATCGCATAAATTAGTACATAGTAAAATAAATTGTCAAGTTATTCTCAATGAGATAACATTGTATGTACCTATTAGGCTAATCTTCCGCAGAAAACTAAGAAATATTCTACACTGCCTCGCATGCAGACTACCCTTGCTAGACATGAACCCCTGCACAGAATGCTTCGCAGTTACAATGACATTAACAGTACCTATAAAATGATCTTGACATCAACCATTGACGGCTCCGTGGCGCAATGGCTTAGCAATGAGTTGCGCTGAGGGCCGCGGGTTCGAATCCCGCACAACTGGATGTTTGTCCTCGTACAATTTGTAAACTGCCTCTACGATACAGGAGAGAATCCTAGTGTGGGGGTAACGTTTTTTTTTTAAAGAAAAAGAAAATAGAACCATGATTTTTCAGTTTAATCGGATAATACAGTCCTATCAATGACCCCACTAACTTGTTGCCAGTTATAATAATTATGGTAAACATTGAAATTAGATTTAGATAATAGAATTAAATATTTTAAACTAGCTGATACCCGCGACTTCGTCCGCGTTGCTTAACAAAGTTTTCTTATGTGCGAAGGAAAAAACATCAAAAAGATTGCAAGCAAAAATATACTTTGCTTACAAAATTTATTTGCAAACAATGTCATTCGTTGCATACAATGTTCACTGAATACGTAGTGCTTATAAAATTCGTTGTTTCTTAAAACTTTAATAACTTTATATTATATTGATATATGATATTTATTACGTGAGAGAGCCATGTTGCAGCTATTTTAATTGTATAGTTGTAGCACGAATGGGCCGACTCGACCGGTAAACGACCACGCTCTCACAGAATGCCATCGTAAAATAGCAGCTTAATGCTGCTGTGTTTCGTATAGTGAGTGTAGAGAGCCGGAGACCCTTTTTACTAAAAACGAGGCATTCCATTTTAATCCTCACGGCTGACAACGCATATGTATTTTGATTCGTAATTGAGGATAGATGTAGATGTCTATGGGCTACAGCAACCACTTATTATCAGGTGGACTGTGTGCTTGATTGTCACCCTTATCCTATAAAAAAATGAAGATATATCGCAATAATTTTTTTTAGATAATGGCCAATTGTCTGAAAAATAAAACTTTGAAAACCTAATTGAAATCTGTCCAGTAGTTTTTCCGTGATACGCGCACAACTGCAAACCTCTATCATTTTATTTATATAGATTTAGTAAATGATGCTTTCATCTGTAATCGGGTGGCATATTAATAGAAACATGTCATGAATTTAGTGTGTATTAACTTCAGGTTCTTTGGAAAGATTTTCGGAACGCAAGCTAATTATTACGTGGCTGAGACTGATCTCACGATAGAAGAACTGGATCGAAGAATACAGGTTTGTTTTTCTGCGTCATTTATTTTATTTTCTGGAGTAGGCATCATTTACATCCATATACCTACACATACGTACTCGGCGATTAAGGGTATTATTTATGGCCCTTCTTCAACATATCGCCAATTTGGTCCATAAACTTCCGTTCGTTTTTGCGTAACTATCTTATTTATATATAACTTCTAACTATCTCGTAAATGCCATTTTATACCGTTAATTAAGAGAATCAGGCGTGACTTTGCGGAAATCCATTATATTAAAGATATTAAAATTAATTAGCTCTTCAGAAGCCTAATGGCAGGGCGCGGACCGCGTACTCGAAAGGTTCGAATCCGCCATTCGACTAATGTCGTTAACCACTTCTAACACAAGCATTTTAAGCTTACCAGAAGTGGTTAAAGAGAATATTCTTCTTCTTCTTCGTCTGGTGCCTCTCCGGCTAGCGAAGGTTGGCAGTCAGCTTAGTGAACTCCGTACTATTCTGCGCTAGACGAAACAGTTCGACGGCACTCGCGATTCCTGTCCAAAAAGAATATTAGTAATGTTTAATAGCATTGCTAGTATTTATAAAAAAAAATAGCTAAGATACGCATAATGAAATAAAATGATGCGTCTTACATAGTCGGAAGAGCAGTTCCCGCCCACTTTCAATTGCGTGCACTCTTAATCCTCGTCACCAATAATCCCAACTGCACTTTTCCCAAAACCACTATACTAGTAAAGACACACCGGCGTCGATAATACAACACGTGTTTCGCTTTTAACACGTTCATGCGAACAACGTATATGTACGTGACATATCTGTATATATGATGTGGCACAACGTATAATTACGTTCAGCAATAGCTCGATTTATTGAGCACAACGTTATGGTACGGTGTCTGGCCATACTAGTGTTTTAAAGTTGGGTTACTGTGCCACAACATATCGAATTCTCAAAATTGTAGTGCCACATCGCACCGATTTTTTTGGCTTCTTAGATGGCGTTCCTCCCTGATACTAAGTACCCACTTTGTTAGCGCACAACGTCACTATACGTCGTTTCGCAAAAGAAATTTCATTACATCAGTCGACTTGTGCGCGTCGCGGGGCTAGTGCGTTTCCAATGTTATGTTCACATGGAATGTTGACGCTAAACGTAAGTATTTTATTATCTTACTACGATATATATATTATATAAATACATTTCACTTTATTGTAATCAGTCTGAATATGTTCAAAATACATATTTTGTATGTTTTTGTTTGTTTTAGATATATAAAATGAGCCAAAAAAGAAGGAATCTTCAATGAAAATCTATGAGCTTTCTTCATCCCGGGAAACCACACCAGTCCCTTTTGTTAACGATGGAGAGTTTGGATCAGATGCTGATTACGGCCCAATTGGTGATAATGATGACGACAGCTCCTGTGACATAGGCATTTCGCAGTTTGAGCGGCGCAAACAGCGCAAAAAGTCATTATTGCATGTCAAAAAGAGTACTTGTTCCAATTTACGATCTGGTTCTGTTGTTAGATCTACATCGGATTCTGCATCAGAAAATTCTTATAACACCACAGACGATTCAGAGTATTCTAGTTATGAAAGCATTTTTGACTCTCATAAACGAAAATGTAGTGACGCCTTAGGACGTCAGCGCAATATATTTCAATACTAATATTATCAGTTATTGCACAGCGTCATTAGACGTCGCTTTAGTTTGTATGAAAAAATTATGTGCAATATCACATAGAGCTACTATATTGAAGTGTGTGCATGAACGTGTTAAATGAGGCATCATAAGCTGGAAAACTATTGGTGAATCCAATTGTGCATGCCTTAAGCGCATTAAAAAATTACGTATAACATGATTATACACACTAGTTTTCACTAAAAACCTTATAATTATTACTGTACTTCCAATATTCCGATAATTATATGTCAAATTTCAATTTAAAAAAAAGCTTGGAAAATCCAAAATTGCACGACTCATAAGATCATGAAAAAAAAAATGTAAATTGTAATTCTATTCGTCAAAGAGTTCCAGTACCAGTCACCGAAGTACACCATCAAGTCACTCCATCAAGTCCGGAGGTAAGGTCTATTCATAACTAACAAAACGAGGTCAAACTCGGCACACCTAATACTACTCTTCGAGGAGTTCCAGTAGAATTCACCGAAGTACACTTTCAGGTGACTCTATCAAGTCCGGAGGTAAGGTCTCATCATAACTAACAAAACAAGGCCAAACTTGGCATACCTATTACTGATCGAGGAGTTCCGGTAGCATTCACCGAAGTACATCAAGAATGTAATAAATTTGGTTTTTGGAATATTATGTATTTCTACAGCGATCGATATTTTTGCTGCCTATTACCGCTGCTGTAAGCAAACGATACAGTAATTCAATCATGACGGCGGTCGAGGCCGAAGTGCGAGTGAGCTGTGAGGCAAACTGTATTTAGTAAAATAAATTATTTCAAGGCTGCTCAAAACACCGAAAATTTCGGCATTTCTCAGGCAAAAAAAAATTTATTATAACTATACAAAACAAAATTAAACTGCCATTTACAGTCCATGGCTTTCATGATAGGTGATGAGATTAGAAAATAGATTGAGTTAAACAATTCATATTTTCATAAGTTATCGTGTTTACCCCTCCATGCGGACTTGATAAATCTACACCACAAGCTACTAAAACCACTATATATGTAAAAATAGCAATTAATCAATTTAAAAAAAAATTAGTTCAACAATCATTTATCTTTCCGACAATGTGCTTTTTATATCATTTATATCATCATCATCATTACAGCCCTTCACAAGTCCACTGCTGAACATAGGCCTCCCCCAAAGAATGCCACAAAGCACGGTCCTGAGCCACCTGCATCCATCGACTTCCTGCATATCTTACCAGGTCGTCACTCCATCTAGTGGGGGGACGCCCTACACTTCGCCTGCCGGTACGAGGCTGCCACTCGAGAACCTTTCTTCCCCATCGGTTGTCGGTTCTTCGAGCTATATGGCCGGCCCATTGCCACTTCAGCTTACTAATCCGTTGGGCTATGTCGGTCACTCTGGTTCTACTGCGGATATCCTCATTTCTGAGTTTATCACGCAGAGAAACTCCGAGCATGGCCCTCTCCATAGCTCGCTGAGCGACCTTGAGCTTCCTCATCCGGCCAGCAGTGAAGGACCACGTCTCAGTTCCGTATGTCATCACTGGCAACACGCACTGGGTGTACAGTCTCGTTTTCAAGTTTTGAGGTATACCTGACGAGAAGATGTGCCGTAATTTCCCGAACGCTGCCCAACCGAGTTGAATCCGCCGATTGACCTCTCGGTCGAAGTTGGACTTACCTAGTCGAACTATTTGTCCCAGGTAAACATACTCGTCAACAACTTCGAGCTTAGTGTTCCCAACAACTACCGGCATAGGTGTGACATGGACATTAAACATGATCTTTGTTTTGTCCATGTTCATCTTAAGACCTATCCGTTGGGAAACACTATTGAGGTCATTGAGCATAGTGCTTAAGTCCTCCAGCGATTCTGCCATAAGGACTATATCGTCGGCAAAACGAAGGTGAGTGATGTACTCGCCATTGATGTTGATACCGTATCCTTTCCAGTCCAGAAGCTTGAAAACATCTTCCAATGCAGCGGTAAAGAGTTTCGGGGATATGACGTCACCCTGTCTTACACCTCTCTGCAATTGGATAGGTTTCGTACTCTGGTTCTGTACTCGGATAGCCATCGTAGCCCTACTGTACAAGCACTTCAACACTTCGATATACCGACAGTCAACTTGGCATCGCTGAAGGGACTGCAGCACCGCCCAAATTTCGACGGAATCAAAGGCTTTCTCATAGTCCACATACGCCAGACATAGTGGCAAATTGTACTCCTCGGACTTCTGTACAATTTGCCGAAGGGTATGTATGTGGTCTATGGTGCTAAAGCCTTTTCGGAAACCGGCTTGTTCGGGAGGCTGGAAGTCGTCAAGTCTGCGCGCGAGACGATTCGTAATGACTCTCGAAAACAGCACGTAGACGCGGCTCAGAAGGGAAATCGGTCTGTAGTTCTTCAAGAGAGCGTTGTCGCCTTTCTTGAAGAACAAGACCACCGCACTTCTGCTCCACGCCTCCGGTGTAATGCCACCATGGAGGACGGAATTAAAGAGCTTCTGAAGGACTTCAAGTACCGGTTTTCCACCCGCTTTCAGAAGCTCCGCTGTAATTCCATCCTGGCCTGGGGCCTTGCCGTTTTTAAGGTGCTGGAGAGCCATTCTAATCTCGCTCAGACTGACGTCCGGGATATCATCGGAATAATGTCTGATAAGACTCGCTCTTTGATCGTTACTCACACTTGCGTGTGGCTCCAACGATGACGTGTACAGCTGCCCATAGAACCTCTCAATCTCACTCAAAATCTCAGGTGCCCCGGAAACGATGCTGCCACATTCGGTCTTCAGCTTTGACAGTTGGCTCTTTCTGGCAGACAGATCTCTGGCAAAGACTTTGGAGCCTTGGTTCCGCTCGATCGCTTCTTCAATACGAGCTGTATTGAAGTTGCGTAAGTCCCGCCGCATGCATTTGGAGATCTGTCTGTTCAGTTGCCTGTATGCTGTCAAATCTGTTGAAGAATGTAGCTTCATCTCCCGTCTAACAGCCATGAGATTAAGAGTGTGATCGGAGAGTTTTTGTGTTCTTCTGCGGCGGGTCTTGCAGAACTTAGCTCCGACCGCATGGACAGTTTCCACGAGCTTGTCATTCAAATCGTCCACTTCATTGCAGTCTTCTAGGCACTGAAAACGGTTTTGCAACTCGAGCTGAAAGGTTTCGGGACTTTGGATTAGAGCACGAGGGGGACGGAGCGTTGACTTCATTAGACGAGACCTCTCCAACTTAACGTTTAGGTTCAGTGTGCCTCTAACCATTCGGTGATCGCTGCCGGTTTTCACCCTCGCGATCACTGAGACATCACTGAACAGTTGTCGTCTGGTCGTCATAATGAAGTCAATCTCATTTTTTGTCGAACCGTCGGGGCTCGACCAGGTCCACTTCCTGTGAGGCCGCTTATGGAAGAAAGAGTTCATCATAAAGAGTCCCTCTTTCTCCATGAAGTCGGCCAACTGCTGGCCCCTTGGGTTCCGTTGCCCTATTCCAAATTTCCCCACTTTCAGCTCACCGTTCACTCTTGTGCCTAGTTTTGCATTGAAGTCTCCCATTAACACTGTATATTGGGTTTTGGAGGAATGCATGGCTCTAGAGATATCCTCATACATTTCCTCCACCTCCTGATCGGGGTGTGCCGAGGTTGGTGCGTAAACCTGTATGACCTTCAGCGAATACCGTTTGGTGATTCTGAGTATAAGGTACGCAACCCTCGTCGACACACTCTCAATCTTTACAACGTTGTTAACGAGAGACTTGTGGACGATAAATCCGACACCTCCTTGGGACAGATGGTCGCCCTCCCGGTAATAGAGCAAGTTGCCGGATTCGAGGATTACCGTGTCCTCCCCCTCTCTTCGGACTTCGGATAATCCTATAATATGCCAGCGTAACTTGTCTATCTCTTCTTCCAGCTCCACAATCTTCTCGTCAGTCCTCAGGGTGCGTGCGTTGTATGTTGCCAGGTCGAGTCGTTGTAGGTGGCAACCGAACCTCCACCGGAGATTCTTAGCACCCCCTGCCCCGCCGTTACCATGGTCGCCACCGTAGCCAGGAATAGCGGGGCCGCCGGGGACTGGGGGCCGTCTGTTTGTTGCTTTATTCATTGGGGGGTATATTGCCATAGTTGCCACGCTTGGCGAGCGGGTTGGCAACCGCAGTTTTTTATTGTATTTTGCCGTTACCAGGAAGATGCTGCTGCCCATCTCCTGCCTGTTCATTCATTTATATGTTCAATATGATTGTTAGATACGACTTCATGCGACAAAAAGTTGGAATCTTGATTTTTAGGCGCTAGTAGAAAATACCAAAGCGCTTTGCGCTTAAGGCATGCAATAGACTCTTGCGGTGGATATAGTGATGGCGGTGGTTGACCTTTAAGGGTGTGTCTTTGTGTGTATTGGGATTGGGAGTAGTGGTGTTGGAGATAGTGAACGCAATTAAGGGAGGGTGGGAATTGCACTTCAAACTAGGAAAGACAAATTGCTTACTATGTGGATCTAATCAAATTATTTTTAAAATCTTTAACGGATTACCGAAAAATAACGCCTGATTCTATCAATAAAGTTATTGTTGTTTATTTTCATCAGGAGTTCGATATGAAAGACATGCCTGGCGAGGGTGAGGGTTTGGACGAAGAACGCGTGCCGGAGCAAGCCGAGGAACAGGAAATCTGTATGTTATCAACGTCACTTACGAGTATTATTTTTGTTAGCCTTTAATGATTGAATATACAGGTTTATTTTGCCATTATTACAACAGTGGTAGAGCCACGTGGCGGATTTTGCTGTCGCACGGATGGGCCGGCTCGAACCGAGGTGGTACCACGACCTCACAGAAAACCAGCGTGAAGTAGAGGTTTACCTCTGCGTTTCGCTTGGTGAGTGCAGGTGGCCGGAGGCCCTTTTTACTGGAAATGAGGCATTCCATCTTAGTCCTCACGGGTGACAACGCATCTTGACATTTTGATTTGTAATAGAGGATAGATGTAGATGGCTATGGGCCGCAGCAACCACTTACCAGCAGGTGGACTGTGTGCTCGTTTGTCACCCTTATCCTATAAAAAATAAATAACCGTCCAAATTTGCAGAGAAGCTTCAGAATAAGTAACATAGGCAAATGACGAAGAAAAATTAATTAAAAAATACTTCCAACAATTCTGTCCTTTTTATCTTTTAAAAGAGTTCAGACTTCCATTTGGCACATCTGGATCCTGACACATCTCTTTCGCTTCTTTTACACTCATATACCTACGCAATACGCATACACGCTCGTCGGTTAAGGGTACTCTTAACTTGGGCAATCTTCAATATATCGCCAATTTGGTGGACAAACCTCAGTTTAAGGCGTCCTTTGACTGAATACTCTCATGAAGATACTGCAGATTCTATAAAAAAAAAATCCTATAAAAAAATTCAGTGAGTGACATTGTTCATTTCAATTTGGTAGAGCTTTGTTACGCGCAAAAAAGAAGAAAATAATATATAGCGACTTAACACATGGTAATATTTGTTGATTGGTGACTGGTTTAATAAGGATACATCTTACGCTCAACCCGCCTTCCGTTGCTACAAAGAGAATTTTCATTCATATCGTTTTTAATCTTTCAGTTGTTTGACATTAACGTGGTAACGTTTTTGACTAGTAAACTCGACTGATGGTATGAGGTCCCGAGTTCGAATCCTGGATGAAATCAAAATCAATTATTGGGTTTTTCAGAGACGAAATTATCAGTCCCACACTTCGGACTGTGGTTAAAGCCGTTGGTCCAGTGCCTGATCTTTCTCCGGTCGTGTTGAATTATAGTTCCATTGGGATATGAGCGAGGGAATAGACAGTGCACTTGTGTTTGCGCATCCTTCGAGCAGTATAATCCTGTCCTGCGCAGATCCGTTGAGACTACTCAGTTGAGACTACTCAGTTGAGACTACTCCGTTGAAGCTCCTCCGTTGAGACTACTCCGTTGAGACTACTCCGTTGAGACTACTCCGTTGAGACTACGGCACTGAAAATTTCGGGAATCAAGGAAGTGACAGAACATTACTATTTAAAAATGTATTTATTGCTTTTCGAAGTATTCTCCGCGAAATTTGACACATTTTTCCATACGATGGAACCAATCATTGAAGCAACCATTCTATTCGGAAGTTGGGGTCTCCAAAATAGCCGTTTTGTAGGCGTCCATAGCTTCTTCAGGTGATGAAAATCTCTTTCCACGCAATTTATTCTTTATTTTAGGGAAAGTATAGAAATCATTAGGGCTTAGGTCGGGGCTGTACGGCGGATGGTCTAATAATTCTATGTTTTCTTGCCCTAAAAACTTTTTTGTTCTGTGTGCGGTGTGAGAACTCGCATTGTCGTGATGGAGGATGATGCGGCGGTTGCAGTTCTCTTTACGGAGTTCAGAAACGAACTATGGCAAACAAATGCTAGCATACCATTCTGCATTAACCGTTCTTTGTCTCTCAAGAGGAATAGTCGTAACATGGCCGGTTTTGGAGACAAACGTGGCCACCATTTTTTTTGCAACACTCCGTGAACGAACAATTTTTGTTGGCTTTAACTCATTTTCGAACACCCAAACTTGTGACTGGTTTTTTGTTTCGGGTTCGTACGCATATATCCAGGATTCGTCACCTGATACGATGTTGTATACAGCATTTGAGGATCCTGCGTGGAATCTTTCGAGAGTTCTGACGCACCAAGTAACGCGAGCCGCTTTTTGCTCTTCACAGAGCGAATGCGGTATCCATCGGGAAAACAACTTTTTTACACCTAATTGTTCATGCAAGATTATTTGTATTTGACTCATGCCAATGTATAAAGTTGCCTGAATTTCGTGGTATAACACATGTCGATCTTCTTCAATCAGCTTACGCACAGCATCAACGTTTTCTTGGGTGACTGCTGTTTTTGGACGACCTTGACGGGATCATCACTGAGCTTGACACGTTGAAATTCAGCAAACCAGCGATAAATTGTGGTTTTGGATGGGGCTTCATCACCAAATGCAGAAATCATCCGGTCAACACACTGTTTTTGTGTTAAACCACTTCGAAAGTCATAATAAATCATCGCTCTTGAATTTTCTCGAATGAATTCCATTTTCTCAACGACTAAACAAGTTTGACAAAACCTTGTGACAAGACCGAGAATCTTATTTTAAATTAATAAATGGTATTCGATTTTTAAAACCAGAAGTTTTCAATTAAAAAGATTTTAATATGACAGGAACAGTGGAAATATTCCATTCCCGATACTTTTAGTGCAGCCTATGTAATCCGTTTAGACTACTCCGTTGAGACTACTCCGTTGAGACAACTCCGTTGAGACTACTCCGTTGAGACTACTCCGTTGAGACTACTCCGTTGAGACTACTCCGTTGAGACTACTCCGTTGATACTACTCCGTTGAGACTCCTCCGTTGAGACTACTCCGTTGAGACTCCTCCTTTGAGACTGGCTACCGTGACTGAAATTCGGTCTTAGGACATTATTATTATTAAAGTTTTAATAATAGAATTAAATACATCATTTCAGTATCCGTAAGTTGTTACAGCTTACAGCAGTTTAAATCAACCAGGAGTCTTATTAATATCAATCATTCTTTAACCTATAAATTTTGCCATTAACCGTATCTTCTTTTACATAAGTGGGAGAAGGAGAGACACAGGAACAGATACCGAAGGAACCGGTACCTCCCAAGTTGCCTCCCATACCAGTATCTACGTGGCAACCGAAACCTACCATACCGGTCGAAAGACCCGGCCAAGGAGTTAATAAAAAGGTTATTTTTCTAATAATATTACCTATATTACATTTCCGTCTGACTGTCATTTTTTATCTGTTATTAATTACGTATTCTTTATTTAGTAGAAAAGATTCTTAGAGATCAAAATCTATTATGAAAAGTAGACATTGAAAACTATCTATACAAATAAATAAAATTGAGGTGTCTGTTTGTAATGTCAAAATAACAACTTTTTACCAAATACATATGAAAGTATAAACGGTACTTATATAAAAAAAACAATTTTTAAAATTTTTGTCTGTCTGTCTGTTTGTTCCGGCTAATCTCCGAAACGGCTGGACCAATTCTGACATGACTTTCACTAACAGATAGCTGATTTTATAAGGAGTAACTTAGGCTACTTTTAATTTAGAAAAAGAATTAGGGTTCCGCGCAAAAAATTAAAACCTACGAAATCCAATCGTAATAAATTTGACGCGGTCGAAGTCTCGGGGAACAGCTAGTTAATATATAAACTACATCATTTCATCACTTCGGGCTGTAGCCTTCACAAGTACACTGCTAAACATAAGCCTCCCCCAAGAAATGCCACGGTCCTAAGCTACCTACATCTATCGTCTTCCTGCATGTCCTGCATTTACTAGGTCGTTACTACATCTAGTGGGAGGACACCCTACACTTCGCCAACCGGCACGAGGCTGCCACTCTAGCATTTTATACGTGGTAGAGCCATGCTGCAGCTATATTAGTAGTATAGTTGTAGCACGAATGGGTCGGCTCGACCGGGGAAGGACCAGGCTCTCACAGAATACCAGCGTAAAATGGCAGCTTAACGCTGCTGTGTTTCGTATGGTGAGTGTAGAGAAGCGGAGACCCTTTTACTGAAAAAGAGGCATTCCATCTTAGTCCTCACGGGTGACAAAGCATTTTCATTCGCAAACAAGGATAGATGTAGATGTCTATGGGCCACAGCAACCACTTACCATCAGGTGGACTGTGTGCTCCTTTGTCACCCTATCCTATAAGAAAAAATCTTTCTTCCCCATCGGTGGTCGGTATATATAAACTATATTGACACAGTTTACAATATTTTAATTTTAATAATAATAATAATATATTAGAGTTTAAGAAAACTTAACAACACATTGATCATGAGCTGTAATGATCCTAGTGACACTGGATAATCATTAAAATATTGTAACGTCATCGGTCCTTGGTACGAGTATAAATTTTCAAATCAATCGGCCGTCTACAAGTTGGTGAAAATTATATTAAAAGATTCCGTTACATAGATAGATACACGCGGAGCTAATAAAAACGTGTTAGTAATAACCGTAAACACCCTAATATAATGTGTTTGACAGGTGTACTGGGTGTGTAATTTGCCCGGTGATCCATGGACCTGTCTACCGGACACAACTCCGGAACAAATCCGTGTGGCGAGGCTTAGTTTACGCGCCATGATCGGAGATCTGGACGCTGAGGTTAGAACATCGAAAATAACTATGCAAAAACTTCATTTTATACCTGGTAGAGCCATGCTGCAACTATATTAATAGTATGGTTGTAGCACGAATTGGGTCGGCAACACCGGGGAAGGACCACGCTCTCACAGAATACAAGCGTAAAATAGCAGCTTAACGGTGTTGTGTTTCGTATGGTGAGTGTAGAGAACCAGAGACCCTTTTTATTGGCAATGAGGCATTCTATCTTAGTCCTCACGAGTGACAACGCATCTGCATTTTGATTCGCAAACGAGGATAGATGTAGATGTCTATGGACCACAGCAACCACTTACCATCAGGTGGACTGTGTGCTCGTTTGTCACCCTATCATCATCATTCATTATAACTATTCAAAAGTCTATGGCTTAACATAGGCCTCCCCCATAGGTTGCCTCATAGAGATATTTGCTTTTACCGCGCTTGGCATGCTGTGGTTGGTGCCGCAATTTTTCATTTTGATTTGTTGTCAGGAAAATTAGAACATTTAAGAGGTGGTAGGACAACTTTTCTGCCTAGGCATCCGTCTAAGTAGGTTACCGCCCTCTTACCTACTTCTTCCGCCAAATAGCAGTGCTTGCACTGATGTGTTCCTGAACGAAATGGGAGCTATTCTGCAGGGCTCCGTAACTTTGAGATATAGACTTCTTCTTGACCATAGGTGTTTTGTTAAGTTAAATGAAACTATTATTTTTTAAGAAACGACAAGAACAAGGAACAAGAGTGTTGCTTGTAGGGCAGCGTGACGTTATTAAGAGATGACTGTTGAGCGAGTAAGAAGCGAGTAATCTCAGAGGTCGGTCTTTTATTTTGTGACTTCGGTTGCACAACTTATGTGGGCGTATGTGAGACACACATGCTCTATTCGACCAATGAGCGGACAGGAGGGGAGGAGTGTGGGGTGTGTGTTGAGTGTTATTTATCATTTATTTTACAATCATACATTTGTCACACAATTTATCGACATACAATAATTCTTTATAGACATACAGACAGTAATTAGTAAGTATACAACAAACACTATAAAGACAGAACAATTCTTCAAATAAAAGGCAATAAAAACATTAATAAGTTTACGTACTAGACAATTACTTACGTTACTAAAACTTAAATAACTACATAGATTGTATTAAAAGGCTATTTTTCACATTAATAATGTCTTAAATCTAGGCTGTTATGTACAGTTCCGGTTTGAACGGTACAGAGAGCCAGTACAATTACAGGTTGCGAGGTATTCCATTTTAGTCCTTATGTGACAATGCATCTGTGGCTTTTTTGTTTGAAGTTGCTTGGTCTCCAACCACATATCATCGGGTGGACTATATGAGTTCATTTGTCACTTCAGTTTAATAAAAAAAAAGATGTAGTGGCCATCTCCTGTTTCAGTTTCCCTGCTGTCGCCTCTTACGACACCTACGGAATCAAATGTGGTATAGTGGTTTCACTTGCGCCGCTGCTACACAACATGAGGGTATTAAGAAAAATGATGAATGTATATTATTTGCAGATGACATATCAATAATTGTGACATCAGATAAAAATAAATATAATTCCATACATGACCATAAAATTGAAATTAATAACACTATTGACAACATTATTAAATGGCTAGAAGAAAATAATCTAAAATTAAATTTAAATAAATCAAATTTCATACATTTTAATAAACCCAAACACGATAAACACAATCATAACCTCAATATCGAAAAGAAAAAAGAAATTACACATACTAAATTTTTAGGTGTAACGATAGACCAGGATCTAAACTAAAAATTACATATTGAGGCCTTATGGAAGCGTATCAACAGCTTTGTTTATGCTCTTTATAAAACAAGGAGCGTAACTAACTTGCAAACAGCTATTACCACTTACCACGCGTATGTAGCCTCCATTCTACGTTATGGGGTGATGATATGGGGCAATAGTACTGAGAGACAAAGGGCATTTGTAGCGCAAAAAAAATGCATCAGAGCCATATGTGGGATTCCACCGGGCGAGTCCTGTAGAGCATCTTTTTGGAGCCGGGGCTTACTTCCGTTACCAGCACTGTACATTTTTGAAATAAGTTGCTTTGTCAAAAGTCATACTGAGCTCTTCCAGAAAGCCAGAGATATAGACTCTAGATTGAAAAGAAATCCGGATAGATTAGTGTTAAGCGTCATTCTGAGATCTGCTAAATTCAGAAAAAGTTGTTTAGCAATGTGTGTTAAGATATGTAGGTAATAAGATCCCCAATGACATTAAAAACCTCAAAATGAATTTATTTAAATCGAGAATTTAAATGGCTTATTGAACTAAAAGTGTACGACATTAAAAAAAATTATTGACCTTAGGTTTTAATAATTATTGATTTGTTAATATTAATTTTATGAGAGTATTTGACCCTTTTTTTTGAAATAAATGTAACTTGAAATGTACGTAACATAAACTTAAATTTGCATGCTAATTATAAGCAAAACATGTGTACTTGTTTTACTGTACCACCTACAAATACCATGTTTTAAGCAAATAAAGAAATTATTATTATTATTATTATTATGAAGATAATTGTTTTTTTTTTAAATAGAATATGGGTGACAAATGAACACACAGTCCACCTAATGGTAAGTGGATGCTGTGGCTCATAAACATCTATATTCAATTAAGAATCAAAATGCAGATGCGTTGTCACCCTAGAAAACTAATATGGAATGCCTCGTTTCCAGTAACGAAGGTTTTCGGTTCTCTACACTCACCACACGGAACACAGCATCATTAAGCTGCTATTTTACGCTGGTATTCTGTGAGAGCGTAGTCCTTCCCCGGTCAAGGCGATCCATTCGTGCTACAATGTGGTTCTACCACGTATATAATTGTGTTTAAAACAAATGCAGGTACAAACGTTCCCGCCATTCGAAGGCACGGAGCGTCACTACCTGCGTGCTCAGATCGCGCGGATCGCCGCTGCCACATCGATATCGCCCCAGGGCTTCTACACCTTCGGCTCTGGGGAGGAGGAGGAGGACATCGACATGGAGGAAGCCGGAGGTATATCCCGCTTTGAAACTTTCTTACTAACATACTAACGGCTTTACGTTCGAGGTCCTTCTAGTTCAGGAGTAGCACCCGCTTTAAAATTCCATAAATACGCGCGTAATCCGATTCGAAACCGCCGGGACCTCTGAAATTAGGTAGTTGACATTATTATTAATAAACTAGCGGTCCCCCGCGACTTCGCCCGCGTGGAATTTTTTGAACCCTAGTTCTTTTCCTAAAATAAAAGTAGCCTCTCTCTACTCTGCCGGAGAAAGTCCCATCCAAATCGGGTCACAGGTTATTGCATGATGCGTGTTCAGACAGACGTCGTGTTAGAGTTTTATTAAAGTATGTACCTACTAGCTGTGCCCCGCGGTTTCACCCGCGTATATCACGCGTCTGCGCCTTGCCATGCGAACTTCGAGAAAGACATCACGACGGACGGTTGCTGAATTAACAAAGATATAAAAAATGAAATATGTTACTAAAATTACATGTAACGTAATTGGTGGTTATGCATGATACAGGTACTGATACGAATAATGTGGCCTATTTTGTACCGGCGTTACTATTTCACATTTTAACATGAAAAAGTAGTTATTGTGACATAACTGTAATATTTAAACATATGGTATAGTTGACTTTTTTGTAGATATTGATATCCTCTATAAAACTGAAGTTCATTACTTTGCTCTATTATCAATAGTTTCCGCAGCGTACGCGGTATAAGGATTCTTTTTGGTATTTTTTTCACACCTTGGGTTACATTAACGAAGTTTTCATACGGATCCCTAACTTTTTGAAAATATTATATAGCCTATGTTCATCAGGGATAATGTAGGATTTTAATGGTGAAAGAATTTTTCAAATCGGTCCAGTAGTTTCGGAGCCTATTCAGTTCAAACAAACAAACAAATCTTTCCTCTTTATAATAGTAAATAACAACGTTATAATTTAAATTTGCTACTTTTAGAAGTGTCTTAAAACTTAGTCGATTTTTTATTTGATGTTAAAATATTTTTCCTTTATTTTTGTAAATTGCGTTAGGTGTTTAGGGTTTACAATAAAGTTATATTTAAGCTTATTTTTCACTTTTTAGTATTAATGTTAATGATTATTTAACCATAAAACCTATGACGTCATTACTCTACATTTTCATACAATTTACACAGGAATGTTTGATTTGAGTTTCAAACGACTAAAGTGTTAAAATCCTCACTTGCTAATTACAATTTACAGGTTTTTTTTACTCATTATAACATTCCAATTCCATACTATGACCTTAACCGTATCAGCACACGTTAAAAATATATACATTATTATTAATATACAACAATGGAGCGTTTCGTCACCGAATAACATCGTAGCGTGTCATGACCGAACCGATAGCGAATTCACGTCGAAAATATTTGGCAGGTGTCCATACGCTTCGGGCAAGCCAGGCCAGTCAGAACCTACGTCTTTACTAAGCACAGCTTAGCCGTATTCCATGTGTTTGTACTGCAAGCTTTTTTTGATGCAAGCACATTGTCCGCTTGATGGTAAATGGATGTCATGACCTCTAGCCCTACATCTACTCTTGATCATGAAATGAAGCAGATGTCTTCAGGTGTGTTGTCACCAGTGAATACTAAGACAGAATGCCTCGTTAACGGTAAAAAGGGTCTCCGATTCTCTACATTCACCATACGAAATGTAGTAGCATTGAGCTGCCAATTCACGCTGGTATTCTCTGAGAGCGTGGTCCTTTCCCGGTCGAGCCGTCCCATTCGTGCTACAACTACGAGTATACTATAGCTGCAGCGTGATTCTACCACGTATACACTTTGATTGTATTTACACAATGAATTATTGTTGGGTGTATCTTTATAAAATTACATTTGATACTACTTTAACACTTATCATACGAAACAGCAGCATTGAGCTGCTATTTCACGCTGGTATTTTGTGAGAGCGTGGTCTTTCCCCAGTCGCGTCAAACTCTACCAGGTACAGAACAGAATGTGTACGTTTATGTCAACAACATCATAATAACGATATAATTTTTTCTGTGTGATAGATATGAATTTCAATCAGAACCCGTTCTACCAGGGGCACACGATCAAAGACCTTGTCGATCCAGAGTTGGGGTACTGGGTGCACCACGGCAGACATATCCTCAAGCAGGGTAGGACCATTTGGTGGAACCCGCGTCCCGAAATGCAGGCGAGTTTGCCGTTATTAAATTATACAATTCATCGTTCGTCATGCTTACAGCAAAGGAGTGAAATAAGTTTTTTTTTTAAATATATGTAGGATAAGGGTGCTCGACACAGCTCACCTGATGGTAAGTGGTTGTTGTGGCTCATAGACATCTACAGATGTAGGATAGTCTGCATTATGATTCGTAATTGAGGATAGATATCCTTGATTACAAATCATAATGCAGATGCGTTGTCACCCGTGAGGACTAAGATGAAATGCCTCGTTTCCAGTAAAAAAAAGTCTCCGGTTTTCTACACTCACTATATGAAATTTATTTATATTTATTATTATTATGTGAGAGCGTGGTCCTTCCCCGGTCGAACCGACCCAGTCGTGCTAGATGTGCTAGAAGTATAAAGTTGCCAGTATTTGTCTTTCCATCCGATTACAATGTGGGGATCTTCAAGGCAAGAGTGTATAGGTTTTTGATAAGTCAGTGCGCTTTACTTTTCACCACTTACCGTGGACAGTAATGAAGTGCCGGCTAAGAATATTAAAAAAATAACAATTTGAATATGGAACAGAGCTTAAATTGGTTCCTAACAAGCATGGATCCAATTGACGGTTTGATTAGTCTCTAGTCTAGACCTACAGATTAGGTCTTAGTTAGTCCTCAGAGGTGACATCTGCGGCCATCTTTGCTTGGAGATGGTTGCAGATGGTCACAGCTTACAGTAACTTTTTGACGTCAGGTAGAATGTCAGTTCATTTGTAATTCTAAAAATTTTTTTGTACGAACGGTTGTCGATACCATGCGCACCATCTTGATGCTTGGCGGTCCACCACTGTGCGATTTTTATATAATAAAAGAGAAGAATTAGAATTAATAAAAGAGACCTATGAACATCTACAACACCAGGGGGTGTTCATAGGCGATAATAGCATAGAAAGAAATAGACTCTTTTGTGTTGAGGGGCCCTAAGTCGTATCGGTCCAGAAAACCGGTGGCGACAGTAAATTCCACACTGTGATTGTGCAAGGCCGAAAATTCCGCGTAAATCGCACGGGAGTGGATCGCCAACCATCGAGATGATGAGGATAGTATTTAGAGTACTGTCGCAGTGTATGATGGTGGAATTCAGCAGCTGGAAACAATCGGAACAATTCCTTTGAGCACTCTCCGTTGGATCAGCATTCACCAGGGATTTTTATGTCCGATAAGACTTAGTGACCTTTAAGAGCACCTTCCTTTTTAAAAGGCTGGCATTGCACCTGCAATTTCTTCTTAACATTAGGTGATCTGTATGCTCGTATGCCCCATATTCAAAAAAAATGCCTTTGGAGGAAAACAAATGACAGTAAGTACAGGTTTGTGTGACATGGAGTAACGGTTGATCATTCGTTATCACTTTCGTCGTCAGATTTTGGTAATTCACTTTTTATTCATTCATTATAGCATTTCAAAGTCCACTGCTGAACGTAGGTTTTTTTTATAGGATAAGGGTGACAAACGAGCACAAAGCCCACCTGATGGTAAGTGGTTGCTGTGGCCCATAGACATCTACATCTATCCTCGTTTGCGAATCAAAATGCAGATGCGTTGCTACCCGTGAGGACTAAGATGGAATGCCTCATTTCCAGTAAAAAGGGCCTTCGGCCACCTGCACTCACTAAGCGAAACGCAGAGGTATACCTCTACTTCACACTGGTTTTCTGTGAGGTCGTGGTAATACCCCGGTTCGAGCCGGCCCATCCGTGCGACAGCAAAAGCTGCCGCGTGGCTCTACCACTGTTAAAATTCTCTTCTCTCTCTCTTCTTGTAAAAGTCTCTTCATTATTGGCCAATATTCCCTATAGTTGCTACGATTGGCAGGCGATTTCAGACCTCAATTTCGCTACATACAATCATTCTTATATACTTTTAGCTAGACATCAAATAGGTACATATAAAATTATATGAGTTTTTTTTTAAATAATTGATTCACTTTAGATTACATTAAAGAAAATGTAATTGAAAAAATATATAAATATATGGTCTGTGGTCCGTTGGTCTGTGCGTCGGTGAGTCCTCCCGCTTAATAGAAATGTAAGCAATAGATTGAGATATATAGTAGGCATTAAATAAGATTCCATTTATTGTAAGGAGGATCCCTATTGATTTTTGTTATTGAACTCAAAATCGTTTAAAAGTTATTAATGAAAGTTGATCAGATTCTCTGTTTTTTTTCTTGTAAAATTATCGTCACTATTTTTATTTTTTTTTCATTAAATTTAAATGAAACGCTCATGATGCGTGCACGTTTGAATTTTCCAAACTATTTTTTTATTATTTAACACGAATGAACTGAACATAAGTCTCTTCATAAATTGCCTATTAAGGGGGATATTTGCCATAGTTGCCACGTTTGACAGGTGGGTCGGCAATCGCAGTTGCACCCCACATACAACCCACGATGCCCGTCGTGGTAAACTATAATATATTTTTTATTTTTTCTGCCGACTTCCAAAAATGAGACGGTACTCAATTCGACTGTATGTTTTCTTTTTATGTGTTACCTCATAACTTTTTACTGGGTGAACCGATTTCGATGAATCTTTTTTTATTTGAAAGCTGGTTCTTCTCGTGTGGTCCCATATGAATCAAGGTCAGACAATGGTTTTTGAGTTATTCTTAATAACTTATATTGAAGTCGGCTGTACAAAATTTTTAATTTTTAATTATTATAGGATAAGGGTGACAAACCAGCACACAGTCCACCTGATGTTAAGTGGTTGCTGCGGCCCATAGACATCTACATCTATCCTCGATTACGAATCAAAATGCAGATATGCGTTGTAACCCGTGAGGACTAAGATGGAATGCCTCGTTTCCAGTAAAAAGGGTCTCCGGTCAAAGAAAAAGTAAAGACACTCACCATACGAAACACAGCAGTGTTGAGCTGCTATTTTATGCTGGTATTCTGTGAGAGCGTGGACCTTACCCGGTCGAGCCGACCCATTCGTGCTACAACTATACTACTAATATAGCTGTAGCATGGCTCTACCACGTTTAGAAAATAAGGACAACATTTAGTTATTAATTCTAGAATAGAAATATTGTAAAGTAACATGTAATGTGTCTTGTTGGTTATCATTAATAAAATAAAAAAACCGAGGACCACCCATGTCACACATGAGATTGGGTGAGATTCAGCTCGACCCCTCCCCCTCCCCCTTAGCGTCTCACGTAATTAACAGACACTCCCTTTCGCAGTCTTTACCCATAACCCTAGGTGACCTTGATAAAATTGTGTAGGAGGACGGCGAAGAGGAGGAAGATGAGAATCCGCCTATCGTTGAGGCGGAGACGGGTCCATCGTTATTTGCGCCGCTGTCCGCGGACGCTTCCAAATCTGGCGCGACATGGAGCCCGCGCGTTAGCTCCGCGCTGGGCGGCCGCGCGCTCGCCGTGATGAGATGTAACCTTTGGCCCGGAGCGACAGCTTACGCTACAGATGGCAAGTGAGTAAACCTTTGTGCACGGGCCACAGTGACAGCCTCGTTTGTCAGTGGTCATAAACGCGATACGACTAGGCGATTGTTGATTGATTGTTGTTGCGGGATCCAATCGGAGTCGGGCTGAATTTCTGTCAAGAAATTCTCAGTAACTGCCCGGAGTGAGAAATTTGGTGGTGTCTTACCCCTGTGCCTCGGAAAGCACGTAGCCATAGCTCCTGCGTCCGATCTCTCTCCAGTGGTGTCGGAATACCGTCCCATCGGACAATGAAAGTGAGAGAATAGTGCACCTCTGCTTACGCATACACTCGTGCGCTATAATCCTGTCCTACTCAGGTTGTTAATCTTCTTTGAGACTAGCCGCCGTGATCAAAATCGTTCTGTAGGACATCATAAATACCAAAAATATCACAGGACAACAATCACAAATTAATATAACCAAAAATCGAGCGCCTGAAACTTTTTTGGTCATTGACTACGTACTAACCTTGTCTTGCGTAGATGGTGGTCATTATTATTATATATGATAATGATGATGATGTTGATTATAAATAGTACACATTATCTATACCTACAAATACATAAAATTGAAGTGTCTTTTTCTTATAGGATAGGTGACAAACGAGCACACAGTTCACCTGATGGTAAGTGGCCCATAAACATCAACATCTATCCTCGATTACGAATCAAAATGCAGATGCGTTGTCACCCGTGAGGACTAATATAGTAGTGGTAGAACAATGCTGCAGCAGTAGTTGCTGTGACCCATAGACATCTACATCTATCCTCATAGAAATAGAATCAAAATGCAGATGCGTTGTCACTCGTGAGGACTAAGATGGAATGCCTCTTTTCCAGTAAAAAGGGTCTCCGGTTCTCTACACTCACCATACAAAACACAGCAGTGTTAAGGTGCTATTTTACGCTGGTTTTCTGTGAGAGCGTGATCCTTCCCCGGTCGAGCCGACCCATTCGTGCTACAGCTATACTACTAATACCAGCGCAACATAATTAAAACGGCGAAGTCGCGGGGATTAGATAGTCATTACTAAATAAGTGCGCACGTATGAGTCTCTTGATTACAGTTTTAATATTTAAGACATATTATATATTCCACATAACGAATGAAGTGCTTATGAAAATTAGTTCTAAAATATTTAGGACATCGACAAAGCGGAGCCTTTCACAATACTCTTACTACCCGACCATTATTTATTTGAACTATTTTTTATATATTACACATAGGTACACTATAAATTAAGGGATATATTATTATGGTATTCTCTACTTGTCAACCTTGCATGATTTGAGACACTGTTATTTAGTGAACACAGGTGCAAACATCTGCGTTTGCACCTGTGTTCACTAAATAAAACGAGTAATAAACATATATGGTACAATAAATTGTAGATGCATGGAGTATAGGAAAATATACGTACATAATCAGCAAGTAATAAATAAGTAATAAATATGTATTATAAACGGACAATTGTATAAAATGTTAAAATGTAATGAAACACTATACCGGGGACAAGAATATTAATATAACAAGGAATGCATTATTATAATACAAAATAAGTATATACCACCTATAAAGCGAAAGACAGAGATAAAATGTCGAATAAATCAGATGGATCTTGAACTATATACAGTCTCCTAAAAGAATTGGTGTTACTAGTTTTATATCTTCTAAATTTGTATAATATATCAGAAAACGAAAGTGTACGATTTAGGGTACATATGGCTTTATGTAATTGGCGGTGATCTACTAGGCCTCGAAAATATGCGCATATTATAATCTACTATAAAATTATATACGACCCAGTGCTGTGCACAGGCTTCTCATTTATAAAAGGGTTTTTAGGGCAAGGAAGTGTCCACCTCGCTTCACCAATGAGTGTTAGCGGACTTCACATCTTCCACACCACACTAGCGACTTTTTCCTGTATCGTTGTGGCAGTTTACATACATAAATTTTACAAGGACAAACATCCAGACCCGGGAAAATTATTTGTAGGCCATACAAATACTTGTTCCGAGCGGGATTCGAACATGCAGTTCTCAGCGCCGCAACTTATAGCTAAGCCATTGCGTCACGGAGTCGTCAAACATTTTTTACATGTCTTTGAAATATTTTTTTTATTTCTCAGATAATATGCAGGTTTCTTTAAGATGTTCTTACAATTGTCTGCACTCAATTACAGTAGGTTATTACTATTTGGGGGAGATACACATTCGATTGCACATGTTTATTGTTTTCTAAGGAGATCAGAATGCATGTACGTCGGTTGGGGCCTAAAGAATCAGCCACCAAACTTTTCGCCGCTGCAGCTGCCACGGCCCCAGGACGAGTACCCCGTGGGACCCGAGGTGATGGAGATGGCTGATCCGACCTTTGCCGATGAAGAGGTAAAGATTTTAAATTTAAATAACTTTTTAAGCTAATTGTAAGTCAATACGTTATATCTTTAAGTTAGAAAATACTTGGTAGAGGCAATTTCTATTGCACGCAAACGAATCAGGCTTATAGGACACAAATAAAAATTCGATTCTACGAGTGAAAGAATTATTTATTTATTTATTTTTAAGATCCACTAGAATGCTGAGAAAAATTTAAAGGCAGTATAGGCGTATATAGGATCTCTCCTTTCCAAAGTCCTTTAATTACATAACGCACGAAATACTAATTTCATTATTAAAATATTATGTCGATAAATGTTAAATTCTATGGTTAACATAAATGGTACTTCGTTTTTCGCTTCCAAATTCCTAAGTTCTAATATGGAAGTCCTATAATGTACACTTACGAGGGCAGGTCAAAAAGTTCGCGGAATTAAAGAGAAAAGGGGTTGAAATAAAACATGACACTATTTTTTCTTTTAAAAAAGAATATATCAATTCTCCATTAACCTTAATACACTTCTCAGCCTGTTCAAACAACTTATTTTAAAACTTTCGAAAAAAAAAATGTCTTGTCAAGGCTCTCAAAATAGGCAGAAAAATTGGCGATTTCATTTCTTTGTCATCTATTTACAGATCTGTCCCCAAAGATCGTTTTTCATATTTGAGAACAAATAATAATCCGAAGGGGCCTAATCTGGGCTATAGGGAAGGTGGTTTTAAAGTTTTGAAGCCGCATTTGTGTAAGGAAGCCAATCGCATGATTCTTGTGAACGGTTGCAAAGGGAGCACACCTCGAAACCACTTTCCCATTCTGTTTTCTTTAATCGCATCTTTTTAATATTTCTAGTAGCTTAGCTTATACTGTACCGTGATAATGATACCTTTATCGTTATAATCGATCAATAATATCCTCTCTGAATCCCAAAAAAACTGAAGCCAAAGTCTTTCCAGCCGATTGTGACACCTTGCACATCTTAGGGGGTGCTGCACCTTCTTATGCCACTGTATGGACTCATGCTTTGACTTAGGTTTATAGTGACGAACCCAAAGCCTTAACCTGTTAATTTTGACCTAGATTCGACGTGGTGCGACGCAATTTCCAGTTAGTTATTCTGACCTAGCAGCAATCAATACGTAAGCCATGATCATGCAGGTGGCTCAGCACCGTGCTTTGTGGCATTCCTTGGTCACGGTCTATGTTCTGCAGTGGACTTGTGGTGGTGATTATGAAGCCATCATAAATTAAAATGACATTTAATGTTAATTCAGGCGTACCGCATCGCCCATCTACCGCCAGCTCCCCCAGAGATCCCAGGAGAAGGTGGTGAGGAATTCAGCGAGGAAGAAGAGGATGAAGACTAAATCGATGACTCATTTAAAATAAGTCATATTTTATTATTAGAAGTTTTTTTGAAGTTCTTGGAACTTATTCGCTCTTTTTTAGTATGGTAATACTTGCACTTGTCAATTAATAAATAATATTTTTTCAATTATTATGATTTAGTAATTCATTAATGATAGAGTCAACTACATGATACAATGGTATCTGTTTTAATTATTAAACAAATTAGATGAAGTATTGTCGTAATCTTATTTAACATATTCCCGAAATAAAAGACAATAGTGATAAGACTTTTTACCCAGTTGTCCCAGAAGCAAGGTAATAATGTATTTGTATGTATGTCTATTTCTGTAGCACGCTCTGTAGTCTAAACGGCTTTTTTATAGGATAGGGTGACAAATATGCACACAGTCCACCTGATGGTAAGTGGTTGCTGTGACCCATAGACATCTGCATTTTATTTATTTATTTAAACTTCAATGCAAAAAGTAGTACATAATATGGCGGACTTAATGCCATAGGGTATTCTCGCCTTGTCAACCATTAGGCCAAATAGAGGGAGATATATAAGAAGCGGTGCACCAAAAATCAAAATTAGTAGAAACGGATGATAAAAGGTGTAAATTATTTATACAATATATGCATATTTATGTCGTATATGCAGAAGTTGGTGATGACATTGTAGAGAGGCTGTCCTGTGTCAGTGTCACATCGTGGTGGGCTTTGGTTTTTTTTTATAGAATAAGAGTGACAAACGTGCACACAGTCCACCTGATGGTAAGTGGTTGCTGTGGCGCATAGACATTTACATCTATCCTCGATTACGAATCAAAATGCAAAAATCAAAACCCGTGAGGACTAAGATGGAATGCCTCGTTTCCAGCAAAAAGGGTCTCCGGTTCTCTACACTCACCATAAGAAACAGCAGCGTTAAGCTGAGCGTGGTCCTTCCCCGGTCGAGCCGACCCATTCGTGCTACAACTATACCAGTAATATTGCTGCAACATGGCTCTACCACGTAAAGTTAGTATAGTTGCAGCCTTGCCGGAACTATATTACAAAAACTCTAGCGACAATCTCTATTTTATGCGACTATGCGATCACAGACTATTATGTGTTTGACATTGGGAGTATAAAAGTAAAGAATGCTTATGTTTTATTTTATTTAATGTATTCATAACGCATAATATTATATTGCTAGAAATGAGGGTAAAAATAAAAGGAAATACGCACACGTGAGGGTAGAACTGTAATCTCCCACCCGTTCTAGTAGTATAAAGTATCAGATCAGTCTCACTATGAATCTCACTGTTGTCATTATGCCCGTTGGTGAGAAGCTGCCCTGTGTTACATTGAGATGGGTAGTGATGCTGTTGGTTTGCATATTTTGGTGTTATCATGTAATGAGGGCATTCACCACTTTTTCTGCCACCAGGGCGGCGCCACTTAATAGTGAGTTATAATATTTGACAGATTTCAGAGCGGGGAGATTAATTTGTTCGGAAAATGTAAAGTTTAATGTTTCTTTCTGTACTATTAGCTATATTTTATATTAATAAGATTAAAAATAAATAAACCAACCCACAGATATTCATAAAAGTAGAAAAAATAAAGTTGAACAGTGCAAAAATTAAAGAGAAAACAAACCACTGAGGCATTATTTTGTGTATTAATATAATACTCTAGGAACTGATAAACTTTTTATTTGAAACCAACTTTGTGTAACAAAAAAATGCATCTGTGTTAACTAGCGACATCTGGTGAGCAGAAAATTATTAGCCCTCATTGGGTCCTTCACGTTACAGCGGTGTGTGATTGTGGCGGGAGCATGTTACTGTTGTTCGAACTGTATTGCTCTATACTGAATGTATGGTGCAGTGCGCTGTTCTCCAGGATGGTTTCTGATAGTAAGCAGGGTTTGTTGCCGAGTAGTGTTCTTTTATTTGAATAATTTTGATGATAATTTATAACAATACTTATATAAATTTACCTTTCTGCACTCTTTCTCTATATAAAGTTTAACTATGCCAAATCGCGCACTCCTTCGTTTTCCTTCACATATTAATAATATATAGATGTGATTGAAATTATTGTTGAACCATTCGACATTATCAGCCCGCGAATGTCTACTGTTGGTCTCCCGCTGGGGAGGATTGCATGAGGATTGACGAACGTAGTACCAGAAGATAAAACTACAATGTTTTTGGACACTTATATTTCAACAATCATTGTTTACAACAAAAAACTAATGTACAACAAATTGATAGGATCGCGTAAAATAATGTAACATTTCTTAAAATTATAAAAACCAAAGACTTCTACGTACTATTACAGCGGCAATTCAAAACAATAATGTCAAGGCTGTGGACCTAACGTGCGGGTAACTGACACGATAAATACGCCACGCAATTGTATTTTCATTTACAACAGTTACTGTTTTAGGCAAATACGAAATAAAGTTTTATTCTATCTGAAATAAACTTCAAATCACGTTGACAAAGTGCACACATAAATAATGACAGAGTTTTCTTAGACACATTAAAAAAAATCAGTGTTAGATTGTCGCAAATAACGTTCACGGTTTACAAAACAAAGAACTAGTCTTCTCGCACGAACGCAGTCGACTAAAGAAGTTATGGAGAATTGACCGTAACTTAGTACGCAATGTACTAAGGCCGCAGAGCCCGTCTAGTAGTCAGTATACATAGAAGTCTTTGATGAAAATCAACATATTGGTAGTTTTTGAGACGTGACATTGATTTTTTAACACTTATAAATATATTCCCGCGAAAGAGATTTAATAGAGATAACAGAATGGAATGCTGTAAGGTAAAATAAATTACAGAATTCACATTAAGTAAAACACGATTGTCATCTACTCTCTAATAATTTAATATGTATTTATTTTCTTATATTTATGTATATATAACTAGAAACCCGCCCTAGAAGGGTAGTTGAGATATAAGATACTCAAAGACCATTTATTTTATCAATGTTACATTTTATTTTTTCAAAAAAAATCCTAATGTTTTGCGGTTAAAATATAACCTAGATTACCTCCCGGCATTACTCTATGTTAGTAAAGTTTTTTCACAATCGGTTCAGTTATTAGGAAGATTAGCTCGGACAGACATACGAAAATTTAAAAAATGTGTGTTATAATGCCTTAATAGTATTGAAACAACTCCCTGAGATTAATAGAAGCCAGTTATTTCTTATTACAGACAAACACTGCAATGTTATTTAAATAAAACAGAAACTTTTTATTCAATATAGATTATAAATAATACTTATTGAAAGTCACTCTTTTGTTTAATTACCACTGGTTCGAACCTTACCTGTGTCCTGGGAAGAACCAGCAAGAAACCCAGCGGGACTTTTTTTTTAATAACAGCTTACAATCATGTATGTTACACAATTAACCACACAAAACAAATTAGAAATAGCTTTGTAGCGATCACCTCAATGTATAGATTAACCGTGTAAAAATGCAAAATCGCCCTTATGAGGCAATCTATGGGGGAAGCCTATGTTCAGCAGTGGACTTTCATAGGCTGTAATGGATGGATGTATAGAAGATAATCTACCAGGAGCACATGACCCACTGTGAGGTGAAATTATTAAATCAACAGTAACATTACAACTACGGCAAAATATCCCCTATGAGGCAATCTATGGGAGAGGCCTATGTTCAGCAGTGGACTTTTATAGGCTGTAATGGATGGATAGTACTGAAGATAATCTACCAGGAGCACATGACCCACTGAGAGGTGAAATTATTAAATCAACTGTAACATTCCACCAATGTCAAAATACGCCCTATGAGGCAATCTATGGGGGAGGCCTATGTTCAGCAGTGGACTTTTATAGGCTGTGACAGACTAAGAGTACAAGTTAAGAATATAATATTTGTATTATCTAACATCCATATTTTTTTTATTGCAATGACAACATTCATATCAATGAAATACAAGAAAATTCATTTATGCTAAGAATACATAACGTGTGACCCACATAAATACCCACAAAGTAATATTATTAGCTTAGCTTATGTTTAACACAATTACGCAATTTGTGACAGTGTAGGAAATTATGCTAGTTAAACTTCAAATTGAACAACCAGTCTACAGTAGTTAAAAAAACCCGACTGCGTAAAAAAAAGTTTACTGAATGGAGGAAAGATTAAATCTTATACCACTTCTATAATTAACTTGATTCTAGAGACGGCCCATATATTAAGATCTATCGAGCCGTTTAAGCTACAGAGCATACCAAAGAAATATACATACATACATAAATACACTCGAAAAACATTACCTTTATTTTGAGGCAGTCGGGTAAAAAAATAATAAGAAAACGCTGAAAAATATTTTAATTTATTTCTTATGTTTATGCAACTGCGGGGCGGATAGCTTGACTTTCCCGGGAAAGTTCCTCGCGATGTTCTCCTCCTTGACGGCCTTGAGTAAGTCCTTTTCCCGGGGAGTGCACGCTTTATCCCGCAGGAACACCTGGACCGCGGTTTTCGCGGCTTTCCCGCGCTTGCTTGTGCCCGGGGTCAGTTTCACTTTGTACCTGAGAAGCAGAGATAATGTTAAGCGGATCTGGTGGCGGAATTTAGAAAAAGAAAAAGGAACGAATACATTATTTAACTAAACATAAAAGAAAATATAATAAAATATATGATAATATTGCTGAATATAATAAGACTTCGTCACGGTTTGTCATGTTTACTAACGTCCGATCGTAGCGCAGACACCACAGCGAATGGCGCATAATCATCTTCATACAGCATTTAATTACACCATTCGATAACTAAAGAATCAAACAATTCGTTACCTTGAGTGATGACTGCGACGTATCGTGCGCGACGGGGGCGGGGGGGGGGGGGGGGGGGGGTGGCGGCCTGAAGCGCTATTCGCTGTGTTGTCTGTGTTACGATTGGACGTCAGTCAACATGGCTAACGGTGACGAAGTCTTATTACTCTTATTACATTAAGCGACATTATCCCATATTTTG